CAGACTTGAGTCTTGGAAATGGGAAGTACAATGCCTGCACTTTAAAGGAGTTGTTTGGGATATTGGCAGTTTGGAGGGATATGTTGTGTATCTTTATACGTACATGCTTCTAAACTGTTGTATTCTGAGCACCTCTACAAAAACAGTGATTATGTGTGAGTGAGGTGAAAGTGTTGATTGATGATGAAAGATTTTCTTTCTGGGGATTTTTTTTTTCTTTTGGGTCACCCTGCCTCGGTGGGAGACACCAAAAACATTCATTCCCAAAATGCCTTTGAAGTGTTTTTTATTTTTATCTCTAGCATTTTTTTTACATTAGTATGCCATTTTATCTCTCAAATTCACCATTTACCCATTTTCTTCACATATTTCTACCTCTGCTGTTGGAGGGTGAGCAGGGTAATATTTTATGAAGGGATTCAGGGAAACTGGTTAGCTGGACTTGAGTCCTGGTGGTGGGAAGTACAATTCCTACACTTTATAGAAGGGGTTTGGGATATCAGCTGTTTGGAGTGACATCTGAACTGTCATATCTGTGTACCTCTGCAAAGACAGTGATTGTGTGTGAATGATGATGACAGTGTTTCTTTCTTTTTTTGCATCATCCTGTCTTGGTGGGAGATGGCCAGCATGTTGAAAAAAAAAAATCTACCTCTCCTACCCTCTAACTAGTTGTAATATATTTTCTTCACTGCTTTTGCCATAAGACAAAAGCAGTAAAATTCCCTACCTTAAAAGCTCAAGATATTATATATCTTTACATATGCTTCTAAACTGTTGTATCTGGGCACCTCTGCAAAAACAGTGATTATGTATGAGTGAGGTGAAAGTGTTGAATGATGATGAAAATATTTTCTTTTGGGGGATTTTCTTTCTTTTTGGGTCACCCTGCCTCAGTAGGAGATGGTCGACTTGTTGAGGAAAAAAAAAAAAACTTTCATTTTTATAGGTCACCCTGCCTTGGAAAAGCTGTTAAGTCATATTCTGAGTGGTAGTGGTCTAGACAGAATTGTACAGAAACCTAAGTAAACTGAGTGTCAGTAAAAAATTCCTGCCAACCTCCAGCCTCCAAGAGTTAAGACATGAGTTTGCAAAACAGCGTATGAGAATTTTTTTTTAAAATAGATATTGGGAATTAAAATAAGTATAGTAGAGCCCCCATATTCACAGAGGATATGTTTCAAGGACCTGCCGTGGATTCTGAAACTGTGGATAGAAGCAAACCCTATATGTATATAAGTCCTATACATACCTATTATAAAGTTTAATTGATAAATTATACAAAAGAATTATCACTTTTTCACTGATGGTAAGCACTTCATGGCTTCTCCTTTGCTTTGAAGAATTGCCACCTTTTCTACTTTTCCTCTTTGGGGTTATTACAGTATTATGCAAAATTAACCCCTTGACTGTCGCAACCCCCAATCCTGAGGTGTCTCCTGGTGTTGCAAAATACCCCCCCCCCCCCCCAAAAAAAAAAAAAAAAAAATCTTATGAAATGATAGAGAATCTTTTCCCGATTGAAACGACAAAAAAAAAAATTGATGGAAAACTGACGGAATTACGCTCTTGCGCAGTTAGCAACCTCGGCGATATTTACAAATCGGCAATTTCGCCCACTTTGAGCCCTATTTTCGGCTAATTCCATTGTTCCAGTAGACCAAACTCATAGCTATTTTTTTAGAACTCCATTTTTTCTATCGACTGAGTACAAGAAACTGCCCATTTACCAATTTCAACTACCCAATAATGTGATCAGAAATTTGCAATTTGGCCAATTTCACGAAAATAAAAAAAATATGACAATTTCAAAACAAGGTCCAGAATGAACAATGCAGACATTCCTGGCTTTAAAATAACATTTTCTTTGTTTATTAGTCATGTCTTCAGGCCCCTAAGATATTACTCTTGCTTTCTATTTTGAATTTTTATTCAAACAAAAAATAGAAGATTTACTGTTATGCAGACTACTGCAATACTGTAATAATTGTATAAATAATGTCAACCCATTCATGACTGCATATTAGAATGGCTAGTTGGACATTTATTGGACAATGACATCATTTGTTTACTTTTGAACATTGGCAAAAATCAAACATTTCCCCCACTTTGAGCTCCATTTCCAGGTTCTCTTTATAGTAAAACCAATCAAAATCACCTCTGGAAAACATATTATAGAAATATGTTTTCCATTCTATCAAATGAGGCCAAGAAAACGAGAATACAACCATAAATACTATACAAAAATAGACCACAAATTTGGCATTTTAATTAAAAAAAAAAAAAAAAAAAAAAAAAAAACTGGTCGGAGTTTTTTTTTTCTCATTATGCACTGTGTGCTCCAGGTATTTTTGATATGGTGCACACTGACCACACAGACCCATTCTCTCACATGTGGGCCTACCAGCTTTCTCCTGCTTGATTTGAAGCCGCTAGAATTTATGAGTATATATACGTCAAACACAGTACCTTGTAAGACGTATATATACGATCGAAACAGTCAAAGGGTTAAGAGGTAATTTTGGGCCACAGTAAACTATGGATATCTGAAACCATGACTACTGAATCAGTGGATGCGGGGATTCTACTGTGCAGGCAACAATGACCACCACATCAGTAACTGGTCAGCCCTAATGATGCTTCAACCTGATTATGCAATGAGCATATTGTCCACTGCACCATACTGATGGTTGCTTTACACAATGACTGACAATCTTTTTTTTGTTCAACAAGTTGGCCATCTCCCACCGAGGCAGAGTGACCCAAAAAGAAAGAAAATCCCCAAAGAGAAAATACATTCATCATTCAACACTTTCACCTTACTCATACATAATCACTGTTTTTGCAGAGGTGCCCAGATACAACAGTTTAGAAGCACATATAAAGATATATAACATATCCCTCCAAACTACCAATATCCCAAACTCCTCCTTTAAAGTGCAAGCATTGTACTTCCCATTTCCAGTACTCAAGTCCGGCTATATTAAAATAACTGGTTTCCCTGAATCTTTTCACTAAGTACAGTATTACCCTGCTCACATTCCAACAGCTCGTTAGGTCCCAAAATCCATTTGTCTCCATTCACTCCTATCTAACACGCTCATGAACGCTTGCTGGAAATTCAAGCCCCTCGCCCACAAAACCTACTTTACCCCCTGCCTCCAAGCTTTTTGAGGACGACCCCTACCCTGCCTTCCTTCCCCTACAGATTTATACGCTCTCCATGTCTTCTACTTTGATCCGTTCTCTCTAAATGACCAAACCACCTCAACAATCCCTCTTCAGCCCTCTGACTAATACTTTTATTAACTCCACACCTCCTAATTTCCACACTCTGAATTTTCTGCATAATATTTACACCACTCATACATTCCTTTCTTTGCCTCCATTGATAACGTTCTTTGTCTCCACATATACCTCAATGCACCACTCGCCTTTTTTCCTTCATCAATTCTATGGTTAACCTCATCCATCATAAAACCCATCCGTTGACACATCAACTCCCAAATATCTGAACACATTCACTTCTTCCATACTCCCTCTCTCCAATGTGATATCCAATTTTTCTTCATCTAAATCATTTGATGCCCTCATCACCTTACTCTTACCTATGTTCACTTTCAACTTTCTACCTTTACACACCCTAAATTGCTGTTAATTCTTTTTATTAAAACATCAGCTGTTTCCCACTGAGGAAGGATGACTCAAAAAAGAAGAATCACTTTCATCATTCACCCCATCACTGTCTTGCCAGAGGCATGCCTACACTACAGTTAAAAATCCTGAAACATACCTCTACCCCTCATTCAGAGCACAAGAATTGTATTTTCCACCTCCAGGACTCAATTCTGGCTAATCATTTACCCTGAATCCCTTCATGAATGTTACTTCATTCACACTCCAACAGCATGTGAAGTCAAGAACCATTTGCCTCTACTCGCTCCTATCAAACACATCCACGCAAGCTTGCTGAAAGTCTAAGCCCCTCTCACACAAAACTTCCTTTACCCCCTCACTCCAAACCTTCTTAGGATGACTCCTACCCTGCCTTCCTTCCACTACAGATATACATGCCCTCCAAGTCATTCTATTTCGCTCCATCCTTTCTAAATATCCAAACCACCTCAACAACCCTTCCTCAGCCCTCTCGATATTACTCAAGAAATCGTAATGACACGATTGCAAACAAACCATACCCCCGCCGGATTGAACCCGCGACGGCTGGAGTTTTGAGACTCTATGACCGCGGGTTCAATCCCGGCCGGGGGTATGGTCTCTTGATATTACTTTTAGAAACCCTGCACCTCCTTCTAATCTCCAGGCTACAGATTCTTTGCATAATATTCACACCACACATTGCCCTCAGACATGATATCTCCACTGCCTCCAGCTTTCTTCTTGTTGCAACATTCACCACCCATGCTTCACACTACATAAAACCATTGGTACCGCTATACTCTCATACATTCCCCTCTTTGCTGCCATGGATAACGTTCTTTATCTCCATAGACTCCTCAGCGCACCACTCACCTTTTCCTCCTCATCAATTCTATGATTCACTTTGTCTCTCATAGACCCACTGTTGACAAGTCCACTCTCAAATATCTGAATACATTAACTTCCTCCACAGTCCCTCCCTCCAATTTGACATCCAATCTTTCATTACCTAAATTTTTTGTTATCGTCATCACCTTGCTCTTTTCTGTGTTCACTTTTAATTTCCTTCTTTTATATAACCTTCCAAACTTGTCCACCAACCTCTGCAACTTCTCTTCAGAAACTCCCAAGAGCATAGTGTCAGCTGCAAAAAGCAACTGAGACAACTACCACTTTGTTAGACTATTTATCTCTTAATCCTGCACCTCTTGCCAACACCTGAGCTTTCCTTTCTCTTACAATCTTATCTATATATATACAGAACAACCATGGTGACAATGTCTACTTTCATACATTGACTTTTATGCTTTAAAAAAATGAAAATAAATTAGCAATATTCTTACCTTCCACTCTGTAAAACAAGAGAAGACCTTGTCATAAGTTTCAGTGGGATGGTCTTGATATTCTAAGCTACACTCATTCCTCAAGCATTTTAACTTAATCTGAAATATTATGGTATACACAGAACAATAATTTAATAAAATGTTCACATTATTGAATTATATAGGTTTCATACATAAACAGGTACTTTGGCAGTCTGCTGCCCAGGTTGTCAATAAGTGCATATCAATGCTAAATATTGTTATGTCATATCACTTTTTATCATTTGCATAAGTGGAATAAGAATCTTTCCTCCGTAAGCCATGCGTGTTGTAAAAGTCAACTGAAATGCCGGGAACAATGGGCTAGTAACTCCTTTTCCTGTAATAATTACTAAAAAGAATAAGAAGATGAAAATTGTCAAAGTGGGAAGTCTGAATGCGTGTGGATGTTGTGCAAATGATAAGAAAGAGATGATTGTGGATGCTATGAATGAGAAGAAGCTGGATGTCCTAGCTTTAAGTGAAAAAAAAACGAAAGGGGTAGGAGAGTTTCAGTGGAGAGGAATAAATGGGATTAGGTCAGGGGTTTCAAATACAGTTAGAGCTAAAGAAGGAGTAGCAATAATGTTGAACGATAAGTTATGGCAGGAAAAGAAGGACTATAAATGTATTAATTCAAGGATTATGTGGAGTAAAATAAAGGTTGGATGTGAGAAGTGGCTTACAGTAACCGTATATGCACCTGGAGAAGAGAGAAGTGTAGAGGAGAGACAGAGATTTTGGGAAATGTTGAGTGAATGCGTGGGGAGTTTTGAACCAAGTGTGAGAGTAATGGTGGTTGGAGATTTCAATGCTAAAGTGGGCAAAAATGTTGTGGAGGGAGTAGTAGGTAAATTTGGGGTGCCAGGGGAAAATGAAAATGGGGAGCCTTTAATTGAGCTATGTGTAGAAAGAGGTTTAGTAATAAGTAATACATATTTTATGAAGAGGATAAATAAACATACAGGGTATGATATATCACGTAATGAAAGTAGTTTGTTAGATTATGTATTGGTGGATAAAAGGTTGATGGGTAGGCTCCAGGATGTACACATTTATAGAGGGGCAACTGACACATCGGATCATTATTTAGTTGTAGCTACAGTTAAAGTAAGAGGTAGATGGGAAAAGAGGAAAATGGCAACAACAAGTAAGAGGGAGGTGAGAATGTATAAACAAAGGGAGGAGGAAGTTCAGGTGAGATATAAGCAACTATTGGCAGAAAGGTGGACTGGTGCAAGTATGTGTAGTGGGGGGGGGGGGGTTGGGAAAAGTTTAAAAAATGCAGTATTAGAATGTGGGGTAGAAGTTTGAGGTTATAGGAGGGTGGGTGCAGGAGGAAAGAGGAGTAATTGGTGGAATGAAGAAGTAAAGGGTGTGATAAAAGAGAAAAAGTTAGCTTATGAGAGGTTTTTAACAAAGCAGTGTTATAAGAAGAGTAGAGATATGGAGAGTAAGAGAAAGGTGAAGAGAGTGGTGGAGAGTGCAAAAGGAGAGCAAATGATAGAGCGAGAGAGGCACTGTCAAGAAATTTTAATGAAAACAAGAAAAAGTTTTGGAGTGAGTTAAACAAGTTAAGAAAGCCTAAGGAACAATGGATTTGTCAGTTAAAAACAGAGTAGGGGAGTTAGTAATGGGGAGAGGGAGGTTTTGGGTAGATGGCGAGAATATTTTGAGGAACTTTTAAATGTCGACGAAGAAAGGGAGCGATAATTTCATGCACTGGCCAGGAGGTATACCATCTTTAGGAGTGAAGAAGAGCAGGATATGAGTGTGGGGAAGGTGCGGAGGCATTATGTAGAATGAAAGGGGTAAAGTAGCTGGAACTGATGGGATCATGGCAGAAATGTTAAAAGCAGGGGGGTATATAGTGTTAGAGTGGTTGGTATTTTTGTTTAATAAATGTATGAAAGAGGGGAAGGTACCTAGAGATTGGCGGAGAGCATGTATAGTCCCTTTATATAAAGGGAAGGGGGACAAAAGAGATTATAAAAATTATAGAGGAATAAGTTTACTGAGTATACCAGGAAAAGTGTACAGTAGGGTTAGTATTGAAAGAATTAGAGGTAAGACAGAATGTAGAATTGCGGATGAGCAAGGTTTCAGAGTGGGTAGGGGATGTGTAGATCAAGTGTTTACATTGAAGCATATATGTGAACAGTAATTAGATAAAGGTAGGGAAGTTTTTAATGTATTTATGGATTTAGAAAAGGCACATGATAGAGTGGATAGGGAAACAATGTGGCAGATGTTGCAAGTACATGGACCCCCCCGCCATAGCGAACGCCTTGCATAGCGACAATCCGCATAGCGAACGCTTTGTTCGCTAAAATTTTGCCCCGCATTAGTGGACAAAACCCGCTCAGCGACCTTCGCGAGACGGGTCCAATGTGCGCCCTCAGCCAGCCTCACATGTGCCGCCCGTCCCATTGTTTACCAGCCAGCCTCCGCGGTAACATTCAAGCATACACTCGGAATATTTCGTATTATTACAGTGTTTTCGGTGGCTTATTGGAAAATAAGTGACCATGGGCCCCAAGAAAGCTTCTAGTGCCAACCCTACACCTCAAAGGGTAAGAATACCCATTGAAATTAAGAAAGAGATCATTGATAAGTATGAAAGTGGAGTACGTATCACCGACCTGGTCAGGTTGTACAAGAAACCAAAATCAACCATCGCTTCTATTGTGGGCAAGAAAACGGCAATCAAGGAAGCTGTTGTTGCCAAAGGTTTAACTGTGTTTTCGAAACAAAGATCGCAAGTGATGGAAGATGTTGAGAGACTCTTATTGGTGTGGATAAATGAAAAACAGCTAGCAGGAGATAGCGTCTCTCAAGCGATCATATGTGAAAAGGCTAGGAAGTTGCATGACGATTTAATTAAAAAAATGCCTGCAACTAGTGATGATGTGAGTGAATTTAAGGCCAGCAAAGTTGGTTTGAGAGATTTAAGAAGCGTAGTGCATCCATAGTGTGATACGGCATGGTGAGGCTGGCCAGTTCGGACCACAAAGCGGCTGAAAAATATGTGCATGAATTCAAGGAGTACATAGAAACTGAAGGACTGGAACCTGAACAAGTGTTTAATTGTGATGAAACAGGCCTGTTCTGGAAGAAAATGCCAAGCAGGACCTACATTACTCAGGAGGAAAAGGCACTCCCAGGACATAAGCCTATGAAAGACAGGCTTACTTTGTTGATGTGTGCCATGCTAGTGGTGATTGCAAAGTTAAGCCTTTATTAGTGTATCACTCTGAAACTCCCAGAGCGTTCAGGCAAAAGAATGTCCTCAAGATAATTTGTGTGTGTGTGGAGGGCAAACAGTAAGGCATGGGTCACTAGGGAATTTTTCTATAACTGGTTACACCATGCATTTGCCCCCAATGTGAAAGATTACCTAACTGAAAAGAAATTAGACCTTAAGTGCCTCCTGAGTGTTAGACAATGCCCCTGGTCATCCTACAGACGTGGCAGAGCGACTTTATGGGGACATGAGCTTCATTAAGGTGAAGTTTTTGCCTCCTAATACCACTCCTCTCCTGCAGCCCATGGACCAGCAGGTCATTTCCAACTTCAAGAAACTGTACACAAAAGCTCTGTTTCAAAAGTGCTTTGAAGTGACCACAGACACTGGATTGACTCTAAAAGAGTTTTGGAAGGATCACTTTAATATCCTCAGTTGTGTAAACCTTATAGGTAAGGCTTGGGAGGGAGTGACTAAGAGAACCTTGAACTCTGCTTGGAAGAAACTGTGGCCAGAATGTGTAGACAAAAGGGATTTTGAAGGGTTTGAGGCTAACCCTGAGAGGAGTAGTATACCAGTTGAGGGAATCAATTGTGGAATTGGGGGAAATCCTTGGGGTTGGAGGTTTAGTGGGGAGGATGTGGAAGAGTTGGTGGGGGAGGACAATGAAGAACTAACCACTGATGAGCTGATAGATCAACTTCAAGAGCAAGAGGCCAGACCTGGGGAAACTGGGTTTAAAGGAGGGGGGAGAGAAAATTGAAGGAATTGCCTACTTCAAAGAATTTAAAGGGAAAAGTGTGCAAAATGGCTTGAAGTGCAAACCTTTTTTGATGAAAATCACCCTCACACAGCTATTGCAAGCCGTGCTGGTGACTGTTACAATGACACTGTTTGTGAAAACCCCTTTAGACAAATCATAAAGGAACGAAGGTACAGGCCACTATGGACAGATATGTTGTGCGAAAGAGTCCAGTGACTCTGAAGCTGTCCTAGTGGCATTAAAAGAAGAAGGGAAGTAACCCCAGAAAAGGACTTGCTACCTCAAGTCCTAATGGAAGGGGATTCCCCTTCTAACACTAACACTCTCTCTCCCCCTCCCCATCCATCAATCATCACCAATCTTCAATAAAAGTAAGTGTCATGTAATTGTGCATGCCTTTTTCAGTTTGGGGGTACTAAAATTAACATTTTTTTGTGGTAAAAAAAAATTTTTTTTCATACTTTTGGGTGTCTTGCACGGAAATTTAAATTTTTTTTCCATTATTTCTTATGGGAAAATTAATTCGCATTAGCGAACATTTCGCATAACGACCAGCCCTCTTGCACGGATTAAGTTCGCTATGCGGGGGTCCCATGTATATGGAATAGGTGGTAAGTTACTAAATGCTGTAAAGAGTTTTTTTATGAGGATAGTGAGGCTCAGGTTAGGGTGTATAGAAGAGAGGGGACTATTTCCTGGTAAAAGTAGGTCTTAGACAGGGATGTATAATGTCACCATGGTTGTTTAATATATTTATAGATGGGGTTGTAAAAGAAGTAATTGCTAGGGGGTTCGGGAGAAAGGGGGAAAGGATTAAATTACGGGAATTAAATACAAAATGGAATTGACACAGTTACTTTTTGCTGCTGATACTGTGCTTACGGGAGATTCTAAAGAAAAATTGCAAAGGTTAGTGGGCGAATTTGGAATTGTGTGTAAAGGTAGAAAGTTGACAGGGAACATAGAAAAGAGTAAGGTGATGAGGGAATCAAATGATTTAGAAAAAGAAAAATTGGATATCAAATTGGGGAGGAGTATGGAAGAAGTGAACACTTTCAGATATTTGGGAGTTGACGTGTCAGCGGATGGATTTATGAAAGATAAGGTTAATCATAGAATTGATGAAGGAAAAAAGGTGAGTGGTGCTCCTTGAATAATGGTGTTATGACAAGCGTCAGATAACAACTGACATTTAATGAATGTGTGCTGCTGGAGGGGAAACTTTGCCTTTATATGTTTTTACTCTTGCACACAAACATGCCTCTGTATGTCTGTCTGTCAGTCTATCTGTACAACTATCTGTTTGTCTGCCTAGCTGTGCTTATCTGTCTGTCAAGTTCTGCTTATCTGTCTTTCTGTCTGCCTGTGTATCTGTCTTTCCATCAGCTTGCCTCTGTCTCAGGGAGCAGCTAGTAAACCTGTTGGTTTGTGGTGTATGGGCCACTCTCTGATTGCTGAGCAAGTGACACTGCTATTATTTGCATCATGTTTATTTATGTCTTATATCTACAAACACTGTTAAGCACTTGACCTGGAATTTTTGGGTTATCCTAGGTAATTTACATTATGTATAATAACTGTATTTATGAGTACATATGAGAGACAGAAATACAAATAGACAGTGATATAGACAGAGATATAGATAGATAGACAGAGATAGATACAGACAAAGACAGCCAAAGCCAGCTAGCTGAATACAGAAGAACATAAGAAAGAAGGAACACTGCAGCAGGCCTACTGGCCCATGCAAAGCAAGTCCATGTCACTCCCTGGCTTAGACCAATGACCCACCTAGTCAGGTCACATTCACTGAAAGAAGGAGCATGACATCTGACCCAGTAGCACAAGCTAGTCAGGTCCAACTCACACCCACTCATGCATTTATCTAACCTATTTTTACTTTCCTCTTAAAAATGTGAGTGTTAATATGACATGACATCATTGAATCACTGGTGTTTGCCATGCTATTTGCTCTAGCTGGTGCTCAGTTGAACTGGTGCTCCCACAAGATACTAAGTGGTCCCCAATTTTTTTCGTAGTGCGCACACTAGGTACACAGACCCATTCTTTCATGTCTAGGCCACTCAGACCAATCGCACCAAATTTGAAGGAATGAAAAAAAAAAAAGTTGATCTACGTTTGGAGCCCACCGCCCGTGAACGTATATCTATGTGTGGACAGTTCAAGGGTTAAAGAGGGCAATTTTCTGTGTGGAGTAAGACCAAAAAGACAAAAAATTTTCTAGTACCAGTACTTACCGAGATATAAGACTGCAAAGTTGGCACTGGATGCTCACCTGACGGCAACATCGAGTCCTGCCACTTACAGAAGTGTTGCTGATATACCTTTTTTCCTTGTTTTTATATTATTTTACATGTTTTTTTATGCTCTGATAATTACAATTTATAGTAGTTCTTGTGATTTTCACTGACACTGAAATTGTACTCAAATCGTCACAAACACACTGACAGGTCAACATTTTCACCTGCCTTGGTCATTTACTATTATCTAGGAATATATGCAAAGTATTTATAGGTCCCAGCAATGTTTTAAACAAGCTGGAGTATATATGAAACTTCTTGAAGCATGTGTTAAGATGAGTATCAATAAACTTCTGACAGGGTAAGCAGTGGAATGACACTTGATGACTGTGCACTGCTGCATGGAACCCTGGCTTTGTTTTCACTGTCACACAAACATATCTGTCTTTCCATTTAGCTCTCTATCTCTGTCTCTGCTTATCTGTCTTTCTGTCTCTGTCTGCTTCTCTCTGTCTCAGAGAGAGCCACTAGTGAACCAACAGGTATTACACATGACTGCTTTGTCACGTCTGATTCCTGAGCAAGTGTATGTATTACTTGCCAATCATGCTTACTATGCATTATATCTACAAGCACAGTATAGCAGGATTTTTTGGGTTATCCTAGGTAATTTACATTATGTATAATTGTATTTATGTGTACCTGTCAGATAGAGACAGAGGCAGATAGAGACAGCCAAAGTCAATCAGCCAGCCAGCCTGCTGAACACACATTACACGTTCTAGAATTGTTTCCCTTTACTTAGTGCATAGGTTATAAGACATTCTGGCAGGATGACACTACCAGTGGTACCAAAATTGAAAGGGTGTTGTACAAATGTTGCACATGGGTTATTATCGAGGTTTTTCATATTTCCTCGACCACTTCTGGCCACATCCACCTCAAAGCTACTAAACTTTGGGTAAACATCACTTTCCTCTTAAAATGGGTGTGTTAATACTGCTTGACATCAGTGAATCCCAGGTGTTTGCTGCACTGTTTGCTCTATCTGATTCTCAATTGAACTGGTGCTCCCACAAGGTACTAAGTGGTCCCAGATTTTTTTAATACTGCACACACCAAGTGTTAAGACCCATTCTATGCCGACCAGGCATCTCAGGCCAATCGTGCCAAATTTGGAGGCAGGAAAAATAAAACATTGATCAACCTTTGGAGCACTAGCGATACGAACGTAGATCTACGTTTCGACAGTTAACGGGTTAAATAACCCTACTTTACTGGGAAACTGTCAAATGCCCCCCCCCCAAAAAAAAAAAAAGCATGGACAAAGTAGACAAGGATATGTACTTTACCAGAGCTATAACATGAAAAAAGCCATGGTTGGAAACACTTAAATGAGCCGAAGTATCCAAATATATTTCTTCATTTTACTTAACTAAATTTAAAAAAAAACATACCTGTAGGGGAATTATTGCCTGATACCTATTTAGATATGGCACTTCCTTCCAGAATTTCTCTTCAACAGTTGGTAACTCCTTTAAAGATAAAATAGTTCTTAACATAAAATTCTGAAATTCAAGTGTTTAAAATTAACATTCACATAAACATTTCACTGATGTTACATAATGCAGTTTCAAGAAAATATTGTCAAAATAATAATATCTGAATTTGATAATAACCATGAGAAACCTGAGAATCCTACCCACTAAAACTGTCAATATTGTTTTGTACTACTTTCCCCTTATAATAATAATGCCATTATAAAAAGTTGTATTCTTGTAGCAATCATTGGTATTAACAGTCTTATCTTCAAACAAATTAGTTATGTCAAACCTTAGCATCTTGATTCCAATCAACATTCACACCTGTGCACTTGTTTCAAGTATGTCCTACACCTTAAATTAAATTGTTAATATAGTACTGTTTTGTATTACTGTTCTCTAGTATTAACACTGCTGTTACCAATAAACTGGTTTGTTATATAGAGCAATCACTGTATTACTTCTGGTGATCTTACTTTCAGACAAATATGCTTACAACAGCACTCAGATAATCAGACTTTCTTTGGTACTATTTTATCAAAATTTAGTAAAACTGGATTAGACTGCTGAATTAGTTTCAGTGCAAAATCAAATTTCTGTACCATTTTAATAAATGTGAATGACCTGACAAGCTGTTGGAGAGTGAGCGAGTTAAAACATTTTGTGAAGGGATTCAAGGAAACCAGTTAGCTGGACTTCAGTCCTGGAGGTGGAAACTACAGTGACTTGTACCCTGAAGGAGGAGTGGGGATATTTGCTGTTTGGACAGACATCTAAACTGTCATATCTGTGCACTTCTGGCAAGACAGCAATAGGGCAAATGATTGTGAAAGAGTTTCTTTTTTGGGTCACCCTGCCTCAGTGGGGGATAGCTAGACGTGTCTAATTGAAAAGTGCTGTATTAGCAAAGTACGTATTTTAAAGAGAGTGCTGTATTAACGAGGTATGCCTGTACCTGGGTGCTAGTAGACTGCTGTGTGGCACATCAGCAAACAGTGAGTTTTATAGAACTGGGCTGTGTAATGGCCTGTTAGGATAATAGTTTTAACCCTGTAGCATTTTGGTCATCAAAACACTGAAAGAATTTGAATATGATTCTAGTATGTTACAGAATGACTCATTCTAGTACCTGTTTACTTATGTGGCTTTTGCCGTATCTTAGATGATTTTTTATAAATTTTTTAAAGCCAATCTAAACAGTCATTATTTATAATTATGAGCAAGTGTGAACCACACACTCCCAGGTCTAAAACTACACAGTGCCCTGTGGCCTGATGCCTAAAATTCTAGCTTCATACAGTTAGGGTCCAGGTTCAATTCCTGGCGAGGGTAGAACCATTGGGCATGTTTCTTTACACTGGTTGTCTATGTTTCTCATCAGTAAAATGGGTACTTGGGAGTTAGTCAACTGGTGTGGGTCACGTCCTGGGACAAAATTGACCTAATATGCCCGAAATCTTCAGCATAATAATCAGCTTTCTATGTTGCAATATGTCACTGCTGTCAGCTAGGCCTGTATCCCTTGTACACGCACTTGTTGAAATAAAGATATTATAACACTGCTTCACATCTTGACTCTGCATGGGACAGAGGACCATTTGATTTGTTACTTGAGGATAACGAAGGGCTGCTCTATGGGCTTGTGGCAATTTTAGCAATTTCCTGTGCAATTGATCTGGCTCTGCAAAGGCTCAAAGTAGGCCTAAAAAAAAATACCTAATTTGGGGTAGAGGAATGCTAAAGGGTTAAACAGTAAATTCAATGGTGTAAAACAATACTGTACTAACACTTTACCTCACCATTACAATTTAGGAAAACAAACACCTTATTGTTTAGAACACATTAAATTACCTTGCTTTCTGGAAGGAGGTCAAGAACAGCTCTCCCAAGCATTTTTATTTTGTCACAGACAGAGTTGAAAGATTTTTCTTCAGAAAGCACTTTCACTGTTTGGTTCAAGACTGAATTTGGATCCATGGCAAAGCGGAGACTGAAACGTACCTTTACCTGAGCAAGAACATCACTGATGGTCTTTGATAACTGTAAAGGAATAAGGTAATTGTTTCAGGTAATTATGCTTCATAAAAGTAATAAACAGGAGCCCAAAAACACAAATTAGCAGAGCAGATCCAATATCCAGCCCCTCTGTAAGGAAATGGGGAGGCAGGAGGAGAGGATGTACCAGATTATCAAACCAGCAGACGATCACGTTATTTTCCCTTTATTTTGCTCATTCCTTTTTACATTATTTGTTCTGGTTCCGTATCAGGCAAACCACTAGATAATGTTGGAAACCGAATAACAGATTGCCAGATAAATGATGATCTGCTGTACTACATAATGTTATACATATGTGCTAATTTAAAGAGCTCTCATCATAATCAAGAGTTGTAATTAATAGCCACACTATGCTGACTGCTAATCACTATGATTCATTTTAATCATGAGGCACATTCCTATTTTTTTTCAGGTACTGTATAGTACAGTACCTTATTTATTAGATAATAGGAACCAACTACACCTCTGCCAAATAAATAAGAAACCACTACATCTACACCAAAGAGAAACCCATAACAAACTATGGGTGTGTCAAGGTATTAATATTAGCTTAATTGATAAATTATGCACAATAAGTTGAGAATTAGCACTTTTTTACTGATAGGAATCACTTCACAGCTTCTCTTAGACTTTGAAGAACTACCACCATCACTACTTTTGCACTCTGAGGTCATTATTAAGCAAAATTAAGGGTTATTTTCGGGCCATGATAAACCACGTATATGGGGGTCCTACTGAATATCTTACCAGGCATTGGTATTGAAGCTTTAAATACAGACAAACTATACCCTCTGAAACAAAGCCATTCAGTGTAACTAAATTAAACACCACATACATGTTTAAACTCTTCTTTCCTACATCAAAAAAACAAAATGTACAGTTGTACTTACCTCATTATTTAGAAAGCTGAAGTTAGTATCCTTAGTTTGGTTTATGAGGGATGTGCTCTGCATCTGCAAAAACATGCACGTGTGTAAAATTCCTTACAACTGAAAATTCTTTTTTTTCTCAACAAGTCGGCCATCTCCCACCGAAGCAGGGTGACCCAAAAAGAAAGAAGATCCCCAAAAAGAAAATACTTTCATCATCATTCAACACTTTCACCTCACTCATACATAATCACTGTTTTTGCAGAGGTGCCCAGATACAACAGTTTAGAAGCATATACATATAAAGATATATAACATATCCCTCCAAACTGCCAATATCCCAAACTCCTCCTTTAAAGTGCAGGCATTGTAATTCCCATATCCAATACTCAAGTCTGGCTATATAAAAATAACCAGTTTCTCTGAATCCCTTCACTAAATATTACCCTGCTCACACTCCAACAGCTCATCAGGTCACAAAAACCATTCGTCTCCATTCACTCCTATTTAACATGCCAACGCACGCTTTCTGAAAGTGCAAGCCCCTCGCCCAAATAGGGTCCAGAACAAAGAAGACAGACATTCCTGGCACTAAAATAACATTTTCTCTGTTCATTAGTGACATCCCCAGGCCCTTCTTACATCTCTTTTGCTTTCCACTTTGAATTTTTATTGTCAAAAAACAGAAGATTTACTGTTATGCAGACTACTGCATTAGTGTAGTAACAGTATAAATAATATCAGCGTACTTGTGAAAGAATATTAGACTCACAAGTTGACGTGTATTGGACACTTGGCATGATTTGTTTACTTTTGACCTTTGATAAAAATCAAATATTTCTGCTACTTTGAGCTCAATTTCAAGGTACTTCTCATTGTGAAACCAATCAAAATCATCTCAATTTCTGTAAAATGTCTTCCATTCTATAAAATGAGACCAGGAAAACTAAAATGCAACCATAAATACCATACAAAAATACACTGCAAAGTCGCTGTTTTAAACCTTAAGGGCACAGGCCCAAATCTGGATTAGCACCTGTGTCTGCAGAATTTAAAAAAAAAAATGTTTTTTTTTATGTAAATCTACGAGCAATCTTTTTGTTTAAGGGGTAATAAAACAAAAAAAGGGGGTAACCCATATATTGGTGGGTAAAATTTTAAGATTAATTAGCTTTTCCAATTTTGTCATGGTCATTATTTACGAATCGGCGATTTTCCGACTTTGTACTAATTTTAGCCAATTAACATTATTGAACAACCAAAAGTAGATTCCAAAATAATTTTAATATAATTTTATCGATTGAGCACAAGAAATCCCAACAACTCTTTTGCAACTAAAATTTTCATACGAAATTGTTAATTTTTTGCCAATTTAACACAAAGTTCAAATTATCAAATTTCAAAATTTCCCAGCAAAACATTTTAGTATTTCTGGCACTAAAGAACATTCTCTTTATTAGTTAATGTATTTGATTTCAAAAAATTACTGGATTTATTTTTTAAATCACCCTAAATGAATATTTTTTTGCACACCAATTTCCACTAAATTTCTTTTAAAGATATAATGTAAAATTGTATAAATAAACACAAATCAATATTTGTGATGTCTATTAGTATCCCACCAAGGGGGGTGGCCCGAAAACGAGGAGAACGAAATGTTTCTCTTTTTAAAAAATTTAACATTGTTACTACCTTGGGTCAGTTTTTATCGCCTTTCCAGTGCTTAAACGAAGAAATCTCTCTCATTCCCATATGTTCCATCTAAATAATAGAAATAAATTAATAAATACATAAATTAAACAAAATAATTGTGAATCCCTTCACAAAATGTTACCTTGCTCACATTCCAACAGCTTATCAAGTCCCAAAAACCTGCCTCAGTGGAAGATGGCCAGGGTATTGAAGAAAAGAAAAATAAAGATATAGAGATAGACAGAGATAGTGAGATACACAGTAGGCATCATAAATATGAATGCCCATAAGAATGCCTTTAGCAGACTGTGCCCTGGCACATCACCACTATCATAACCAACACCATCACCACCATCATAACCAACACCATCACCACAATCATTACCATCACTACCAACACCATCACCTCGATCATTACCATTACTACTAACACCATCACCAATATCATTACTATCACTGCCAACACTGCTATCATTACCATCACTACCAAGACCATCATTACTAACTACTATCACCAACACCGCTATTTCATAACACTTCCATTACAAAACTATCAAACTCAAGAGGTACACTTCCACATTCTCGGCTACTGAGTGTTACATGTTCCTGAATTTTCTATTACTCTGGAATATCTTTTCTGTGTATGTTCACAATCCATATGAGAAATTAAGGTGTCGTCTGAAAAGGTAATTGATTCTCCTCCTGCTGTTACAAATTCGCCCTGGTCAGCTGACCCCAACATGTCTTTGTATGACAGTGAGTGATGTTCATGGGTATCTAGATGTTACTACCACCATAAAGCCACCAACAACTCTGTAACTAGTACACTGGATAAAACTTCATGGTTTGGGTTGAGAAAAAAAAAAAAATGACAAGCCTTCCATTAGTGGAACTCCAAAGCTGCAAAAGTAACCAAAGTTTCAGTATTAAGGTGAGATGGCACCACAAGTTCACCACCTACATGAAAGAGAGAATATCAGTCAGTTTCTTGATGTGGCAAAGGAACATCACTTCATACAGTTATTCCCCAATCAGTGTCACCTGTTTATGGGGTTTGCAAATGTTAAGTGGTTACGTGGGTACTCAAGCTTGTAAGAATATTGTAATTAAACCAACAAAACCCAAGGATAATGTTAAGGCTCCCCAGGAGCCTTTACATCATTGCCGGAAGAATAGGGCATGCTAGGTTTCCCAGGAACCTCGAAATCCTTGCTGGCAGGATAGAGCATGCCAGGTTTCCCAGGAACCTCTAACATCCTTGCTGGCAGGATAAAGAATGCCAGATTTCCCAGGAACCCTAACATCCTTGTTGGCAGGATACAGCATGTCATGTTCTCCATGAAAGATTGCCCACCAGTGGTGATGGTCCTGATGATATACAGATCATGGAATGTACAGATCATAGCAAGGATCTGCTGATCACTAGCGGTGATGCTGGCGAGGATTGCCAGATCACAAACAGTGATGCTTGTGACCCGAAGGAGAGTGGCTCTTATAAAAGAAAAGCTTCTTGAACTTGTAAATACTCCTGATATTCCTTGTGGTCAAAGTTCACCCACACGGAGAAGACTATAAAGGATATGCCCACAGAATAAGAAAGGACCTGTAGAAAAACGTAAGACGGAAGTTCCCATAGCAGCTAGGAACAACATTCCTGTGAAGCTCAAGGAAATCTGTAGTGTATGCCTGCTAACAGTAGCATTAACTGCTGTGTTCTACACTGCAGGGCCCCTTTACTGGCCAAGATTATATGGTATGGAGCATCATATTTTGGCACAAGTATTGAAGATGTTTTAGAAATTTTCATATTCAATTACTTGTCGCCACTTAGAGTGAGGTGCCTCAGCGTTTCAGGATCAGGAGACGGAGGCACAAGCTTTGGAACTGTGCAGAGTGATCCACGTGACTGATAGAATGATAACAAATTCTCACTACAGGCAGCACACTCCACCAATATTCAATACACTAAACCTACTCACCATACAAAACATCCATACTTATTACTGCACCTATTACATACATAGAACACTTAACTCTGATATTAACCCTCCCCTCAAACATCTCCTTGCCAACCTCAACAGAACACATGACCATAACACAAGGCACAGATCACTCTTTGATGTTCCTCGTGTCCATCTCACACTATGCAAAAACTCAATGCACATAAAAGGCCCTAAAATCTGGAATTCATTACCTGTAAATATAAAAGAAACACAACCTGTTTATAAATTCAAGTCTCTCTCAAAGATTACTTACTCACCCAAAACCAAATAAATACTGAATAACTGAACATTATAAAATTGTATATCTTAAATGTTTCTCACAATTATATCACATAAATGTTAAACCTAAAACCCAATCTAACTTATTATTTTTTAAATACACTACCTAACAGAATCACTACCTAACTGAATGCAACCATATGACCTGTCTTTGTAATACTCACTTGTGCTTTATAGTTATCTGTTTACATTAATGTTTTATCACTGATTTCATCATTGCTTAGTAGCAGCGCTGTATAGTCCTTGTGGCTTAGCGCTTCTTTTTGATTATAATAATAATAATAATCATTGCTTAGTTAATCTTAAGTTAATTTTAAGCCAGCCCGTAATGCTATGCATAGTATAAGTGGCTTTGGCATACTGCTCTTATCTGTATTTTTTTGTACCTCTGTATGTGTGCACAAATTGGAAATAAATAAATGGTGGGAATGGCATTGGTGGTACAAAGGAGTTGATTGTGATGATGGTATTCCCAGTGGGGAGGGAGGGAGGGAGGAGGGGAGGGGAGGGAGGGGAGGGGAGGGAGGGGAGGGAGTGGAGGGAGGGGAGGGAGGGGAGGGAGGGGAGGAGGGGAGGGAGTGGAGGGAGGGGAGGGAGGGGGAGGGAGGGGAGGAGGGGAGGGAGTGGAGGGAGGGGGGGGAGGGAGTGGAGGGAGGGAGGGAGGGAGGGAGGGAGGGAGGGAGGGAGGGAGGGAGGGAGGGAGGGAGGGAGGAGGATGAGGAGATGTAATAATAAATTCCCTTGAAGCATGAAAAACAAAGTCCACCCCTGACAGTGACGTGATGAGATAACATCTGATAAGAGCTGACATTTGATGAGCATACACGAGGGTGGGGGAGGGTGCAGCAGATAAGAAAAGATTAGAGGTGACATTTGATGAGCACTGCCCTTGCTTTGTTTCCCTCGCTTTTACACAAACATGTCTGTCTATTTGTCTGTCTGTCAAGCTCCCTGTCTATCCGTCTAGCTCTCTGTCTCAGAGAGAGCCACAAGGCTGCGTCATCACATTTACTCACATCTTCAAGCAGAGTATAGCACTTTGTCTGGATTTTTTGGGTTATCCTAGGTAATTTATACTACGTATACTTGTATTTGTGTGTACCAGTGAGACAGAGATAGAGACAGACTGAAAGAGAT